AGTTAGTTAATTGTGTCAGCCTGGCCAATAATCACATGTGGGGCTAATTGAAAGGCGGAGGGATAAATGGGTGGTGAGTCTCACCTTTCTAGTTCTCGGGTCTCTTGCTTTGTGATGCAGGGTGCAGCTGCCTTAGCAGTTCCCTGCTTCAGCTTGCAAGATTGACTTCCTACAAGACATCCCCAAGGAGAAGCTACATGGACATATCCCGATGCAGCCCTGGGTGCTGGAGCAGCCGTGTGGAGACCCCTGCTAGTGCTGAGATGCTTTTTCGTTCACTGACTCAGCTTTCCTCCTGCAGTCGGCATCATTGCCTCTTTTGTGAGGTGGAGGACTTTGTGGACTGGTGTTGGGTATGGGTTAATGTTGGACTTGTGGGCTTGGGCAGCATTGGGTTGGGATGTTTTCGTGATGCACACTTTCTTTACATAAAACTCTCTTATACATGAGTTGCTGTGGATTTGTTTCTCCAAATTACCTAGACTAATACAGGCCTTCTCAGCGGCTTGGATTCCTGCTTGATTGGGCTAGATAGAACCAGAATCCATGCAGGTGGGGACACTGAGAAGGCTGTAATAGGGAATTCAGGACAGGAGGGAAGTGGGGAATAAAAAGACCAAGCATTGACATTGACTGACGGAGGGCACACTGTGTCAAGCACTGTGCTGGGCATATATTCTCCTGTCAATCCAAACAGTTGGCCATGGAGTGAAGTACCCATGACTTTCAACGTTCAAGGACCTGTCGCCAGTGTGGTCACATGGGGAGGTGCCGCAGTGCGCGTACACAAGCCACAACCCCTGTGCTCCCTTGGTGCCAGGCATCAGACCCAGTGTTTTACTTAGATTAGCTCAGTGACACCTAGTTAGCACCCTGTGAGGTGGGTGCTCGTATGATGATTTCCATTTCACAGGTGGGAATTTGCAATGTAGGAGTCCCTCATCTGGCTAAGGATGGAGCTGGGACTTGAACCAGGCTGTCTGTCTCCAGAACCCTTATGTTAATCTCTATGTTAACTCTCACCCCATTTGTTTCTTAAAGTACTTCTCCTGATTGCCTGCTGAATAAACTGGTGAGAGAGTCTCTTTCCTGATGGGAAGAAAGGATAAGGAGATTGCACTGGTGGTACCAATGCTTCACCATACGGAAGGTGAGGCTGATGAAAATTGTCACCAAAACTTGAGATTATCAAATGGGCAAGAGGGAAGAGGTAGACGCTGCTGGCCAGGCCCCCAGCGGTGGAAGGAAAGGGAAGACGGACTGGCTGCGGGCCCTTCGCCTCAGCAAGATTGCTTAGAGCTGCGAGACCAGTGGTACCTTCCCCCCCTTCGATTGCAGTCAGAGGGTCCGCACCATTCAACTGCTTCCACAAGCCTTTCTCATTCCCGAGTAGGAGAAGTAGTCAACAGTTTCTCCTCAAAATTGGCATGGAAAATATGCAACTGGAAAACCAAATCTGATTCAGTAAACATGTACATCCATACGATGGCTGAAGAGTCTTAATCAGCCCTTAGTCAACAGGGTAGTCTACCTATATCATGTTCACAGTGAGCTTGGTGAATTTGGAAAATGGGTAAAAGTATTTTAAAGGGTGTCTTACTACACTGCCCTTATAGCCTCTAGGCTGACATATATTTTTACCATCTGAAAAAACAGTATGGCATGAAGTGTTTCCTAGCTGATTATGGAAGCTTCTTCATATATCATTTCATGGTACTAGCGTTTGGTGCAACAAACTTTGGGCCCCGGTCTGGATGACCGCTGGGTAAAATAATCAATGATGAGCCTAACTCTCCTGATGGACCCACCAAACCGGCTGCCGTTGAGCTGACTTTGACTCAAGGTGACTCCAGCTGTGTCCGTCAGAGTAGGACTGCGCTCAGTTTTTCACAAGTAGATTTCCAAGCCTGTCCTTCAGGGTGATTCTGTTGTTGTTAGGTGCCATCGAGCCAGGTCCCACCTATAGTGACCCTGTGCACAGCAGCTGCACAGGCCTGCGTCATCCTTAAAAGTGTTCCTGTGCCCGAGCCCGTTGCTGCAGCCACTGTGTCAATCCTTCTCTTTGCGGGCCTGCCTCTTTTCTGCTGCCCCTCCCCTTTACCAAGCATCATGTCCTTCTCCAGGGACTGGTCTTTCCTGACAAAATGTCCGAAGTATGTAAGACGAAGCCTTGCCATACTGCCTCCAACTTGCCTACGGCTTCCAAGACAGAGCTGTTTGTCCTTTCAGCAGCCCATGGTACTTTCAATATTCTTCTCAAGTACATAGCTCAAACGCATTGATTCTTCTAGTCTTCCTTATTGAATGTGTAAATTGCACATGCAATGGAACATACCATGGCGTGGGTCAGGTGAACTTTAGTCCTCCAAGTTACATCCTTGCTCTTCAATACTCTAAAGCAGCTGTTCTCAACCTGTGGAGCACGACCCCTTTGGGGGTCAAACGACCCTTTCACAGGGCTCTCCTGATTTGTAACAGTAGCAAAATGACAGTGATGAAGTAGCAACAAAAATAGTTTTATGGTTTGGGGGTCACCATAACATGAGGAACTGTATTAAAAGGTCACAGCATTAGGAAGGTTGAGAACCTCTGCTCTAAAGAGATCTTGTACTGCAGATTTGCCTAAAGCAACATCTCTTGGCTGTTGCTTCTATGGGCAGTGGGTGTGGATCTGAGCAGGATAAAATCCATGACAACTTCAACCTTTTCTCTTATCATGATGTTAGCTATTGGTCCATTTGTGAGGATACTGGTCTTCGTTACATGGAGATATAATCCACACTGAAGGCTGCAGTCCCTGATCTCCATCAGCAAGTGTTGCAAGTTCTCACTTTCAGCAAGCAAGGGTGTGTCGCCTGCTTATCACGGGTTAATAGGCCTTCCTCCCTTCCTGAGACCACATTCTTCTTCCTACAAGCTGGCTTCTCTGATGATTTGTTCAGCATCCCGAGTGATTCTCGGGATGATTCTGGGTGAACTCAAATCTCCAAGCTTTTAGTTAGCAGCTGAGCTGAGTGCAAAGCTGTTTGTACCACCTAGCGACTCCTCAGGTGTAAGGGGGAAAATACTCAATGATACTGAGCTGATACCAATTTATCATGACTGTATTGAGACACAGTAGAACTTCCCCATAGAATTTTCAAGAATCTTTAAAAAAATTTTTTTTAATTGAGATAAAATTACATATAATACAATTCAATAGTTCAGTCATATTAAGATTGTACAATCATCGCCACAATCAACTTTCCAATAGTTTCTTCTTTCTTATAATCACTGCCCTTGACTCCTCATTTCCCCCCAACCTCCTCTTTTGTGCCCTAGATTATTATTAGTCCAGTTGCTGTCTTCATAGATCCACTCATCCTGACTTCCCTATACAGAAAAAAAAAACCCAACAAAACAAAGACAAAAACACAAAAGCATCAACAACAATGACCAAATAAAACAGAGAAAAACATCCATCAAAATAAAAGCAGAAAATATATATATATTTTTAAACATTTTATTAGGGGCTCATACAACTGTTATCCCAATCCATACACACATCAATTGTGTAAAGCGCATTTGTACATAGTTTCTCAAGACATTTTCTCTCCACTTAAACCCCCGACATTAGGTCCTCATTTTTCCCCTCCCTCCCCGCTCCCCCTCCCTCATGAGCCCTTGATAGTTTATAAATGGGTATTTTGTCATATCTTGCCCTGTCCGACGTCTCAAAATGGGTCAAAAAGGAGAACTAAGGACAAGATGTTACATTCCAGCCCAACTTTGCCGTGCTTTGTCTGATATTGAGGCTACTCTCTTTCCTGGACAATGCTCGATGGGATGCACCGGATACTCCATCTACGAGGAGTCTGCTAATGGATTTCGGGCTTCCACTATCATTCCAATGTTCCACCAACGGGTTTTTTTTTTTTAAAGTAATGTCCTGCTACTGTTCCCTCCTCTCTGGATTTTATTATTCATAATCCTTGGATCCCACAGGCTGTTATGCTTCTTTCACATGGCTGCTTGTTTTGAGACAAAGCTTTAACCCCAGATGCAATTTTTTTCTGATAGCCAGCACCATCTGATTTCTTCACCACACTTTGCTATACTGATGCTGACGGCCATGTTTTCCTCCCACAGATAACTGCTGGGTTTCAACCACAGCTCTTTCGGGTAGCGGCCAAGCTAACCACTGTGCCAACAAGACTCCTCAGGTGTGGAGGAGGCCCCTGGAGGATCATGGCCTTCTACAGATTTGTGCTTTGTAGCTGCTCAAGGCCCAATCGTACTCATTATTATATTCGCTTGCCTTAAAACGTGGCCAGGCCACATTTAATTAATTAGCTACCAGTATCAAATTAACCAGTGGCTCCAGTTTTAGAGGCGGGTATGAAGCTTCACCTCGGAACAACTAAATACAAATCTCTGAGAGGGAGAACTGAACACCTCCACTCAAATCAAGTCTCTAAAGTGATTCTCACGTACCTTCCCTTCGAGAACCCCTGCTTTAGGCCTTATCTACGCCCAGATGCGGTTGCATGCCCTTGTATTATTTATTGATTTGATGCATTACAAAACTGTCCTAAGTCTTTAGGAACTCCAAGGGCATCTGCCCTGCCCTTAGCCATGATGTCATAATGGTCTAATCTGTCATCGGACCTGCTGGGCAGCAGAAAGTCTACGTGGAGCAGACGCAGCAGCTAAGTGGGTAAATCACTACGTTTTCCCAATGAATTTCATATTGTTCATTTTTTTACCTGGGGCTTTTTCCTCAAATAATACGGATTCCAACCCCAATGTTGTAGGTGAGTAAACATTTATAACTTTCCCCAAAAGAATAACCAGGAGAGGAGGTCCTTAACTTGAAAAATTGGTAGCTGGCAATTTTCTGCAGGATGGGAAAACCTTGATGGTGGTGGTGGTGGTTTAATTTTGACTTTACAAAGCTGTGGGGAAAACATAAAGAGTAAGAAAAAGGGAACTCGTGAAAGGAATGACATTACATTTCTGGTATGCTATCTCCTACCCTACCCCGCCTCCCCCCAGCCCCCCCAGGGTTTTCTGACTCACCTTTACTTAAAGAAGAAAATAAACAGCAAGGAGAAAACAAGGATAAAGTGCCTGCTAATGAGCAAAATGGCAAGCATTTGAAAGATGTGAAAGAATGTAAGTCTTTAAAGTTAATAGCAACCTCATATATAAAAGCTGATTATACTCGTCTGATGTATTTTAACTCTTTTAAATTCTCATAATTGCTTACATTTATTTCTTATGTCTTACATTCTAATTTGCTTAATAGGCTTTTTGGTGTGACAAATGGGACCCTTATTTCCTCCGTCTTTCCCATGAAATGTCAATGAAGTTTCACAGAGTTCTCTTGGTAATTGTTTGTGATTAAAAGAGTTGGTCATAACATTCTGACGATTTATTCACACTAGTAGCACTTGACCGAATTCTCTGGTGAGTTAACCAGTATCTATTTGGGAGCGGCTTCCAGACGTTTGGAGAGGCCATCCACATGTGGCTTATTCTTCACTGTTCCCAAAGCAGCTTCATTTGATGAGTGGAGCCTAACGATCCACTGCAGGCCGCTGCCACAGTGTGCAGAATGGCACAATGAAAAGCCTCTCCTTTTCAGGAGGTACCTCTGTTTTGAATTAATCAGAGGACAAATCAATGAAGAGCCTCACACTTGTTTTGATTACAGAGAAAAACATTTCTTAATTAGACATCATTCCATAGTCAAGACAGATCTGCCTTCCCTTGACTTTATCAGCTTCTTGTCATAGCTTCTTTAATTTTTTCTTCTGCCCTGACATTAATTATGACAATAATCGTTTCTCGTCTCTGCAAGCAATATTGATGATATTTGATTTCTTGTTTACATGTAGATGCATTTTCATATTAAAGAGCTCAAATAAAGTATAAACACAGGAAGGACAATGTGAAAATCCTTTATCTCTCTACCTGTTCCTCCCCCAGCCACCATGGTAATGGCTATCAAAGATTTTTTTAATTTCTTGCAAGTATGCGTCCAGTCTTTAACACACACACACACACACACACACACACACACACACACACAATTAGGTCAAGAAATACTGACACAAAACTATAGTAAGTATTTTAAAATTAAGAACAAAGAGTGACGCTATTGTTTCTCAGTATCTCCTCCATGGAGGTCTACAGGTGTCTGAGAGCAGTGTCTCCTTCTCTTGCTTGTCTCCAAACAGCCCCTCACTCTCAGAGGTACACCCCATTAAAGGCAGTTTTGACCTCCTGAAGGGACTGAAATCCTCTCCTTTTTAAATGGTCCCTGAGCTTGGGGATCAGAAAGATATTTGAAGGGACAAAATCAAGGTTGTAGGATGGATCAGATAAAGTTTCCCGTGGAAATGCCCACAGGACATCCCTTGCTGCCCTGGAAAAATGCACAGGTGCTTTGCCACAATGGGAACATGGCTCGGTGCAAATTTCCTGGGCTTTTTTCACCAAGACAGCTTACGGTTTTCTTAAAACTTCTTAATAAATCCCAGTGACCATCCTATGCCCTTAGGGAAAATCTATCATGATGATTCCTCTGGGGCCCCCCAAACAGTTGTCATAACCTATCGAGCTCGCCTTTCCGCCTCAAAGTTGATGGGCCAGAAGAGAAGACCCCCCTGGAAGCCTGGGTTTTGACCAGGTCGGTTTTGAAGGCACCTTATCAAGACGAAGGATCAAACCCAAACGCACTGCCATCAAGTCTTGGCCGACTCAGAGCAACCCTGGAAGGAAATCACAATGTTTTTCTTTAAGATACAGTTTATTTCATTTTATGTTTTCATGACTTATTGCATGGGTCTGGGATTGGGATTGACCTTCCTTTTTCTGTCTCCGGGGAGCAGCTGGGGTTTCAACCGGCTGCCCTTGCAGCTTGCAGCCCACGTTGTAGCCACTCGGGCTCCTCTTGGGTCTGACAGAGGGAGGCACAGCCGAGGGGACTTGTTTGCAGACATCCATTGGTCACTGAGAGATGCTTGAATATATCTTACATGGAGTAAACCTGTGTATTTATGCACAGGAACCCAGTAGCAGTACTGTTTGACTTACCCTGATACACGAAAGAACTTCAAAAAGTTTATGAAACATGGAATTTAAAGATGCTGAAATTTCCCCTGATTTTTGGAAGCTCGTGTGCGAGCACGCGCGCGCACACACACACACACAAAAACCCCAAGTTTTTTCTCATTTAACAACTCAAACTCTTTTCCCAGCCACGTTTAATTGCGAATGGATACATAACATTCTACAACACAATTCACCATCACTGTGTATCCACTATCTTGTCAGAGGACATTTAGATTGTGTACAGTTCTCCTCTCGTTTATTCTTCCTATGTACAGCTAATTACAGTGCTCTATGCGTGGATAGCTAGTATGGGAACTTCTGAATAAAGGGTACATCATTTAAAATATTGACGTTGTGTGTGACAATTAAGGTTTATTGTGCCAACCTGGCCGATAAACACATGTGGGGTTAATTGAAGGGCGGAGAGATAAGTGGCTCTGTGAGCCTTACCTTAGTTCTCTTGTCTCTTGCTTTCTGATGATCGGACCAGGGTGCAGCTGCCTTAGCTAGTTCTCTGCCTCAGCTGGCAAGGCTCACTTCCTGCAAGACATCCTGAGGAGAAGCCACATCGACCTACCCTGATGCAGCCCTGGGTGCTGGAGAAGCCACATGGAGACCCCTGCCAGCACTGAGATGCTTACACCACCACTGGGTTCAAAGACTTTCTACCCACTGGCCTGTGATCCTCCTGCAGTCAGCATCATTGTGTGTTTTGTGAGTTTGAGGAGGACTTTGTAGATCGGTGTTAGACATATGGGTTTGGACTGGACAGGGTTGGGATGCTTTCTGAATGTGCACTTACCCTTTATATAAAACTCTCTTATACATATATGAGTTTCTGAGGATTTGTTTCCTTAGTTTACCCAGATGTCTGGGTTGACTAGAGAAACAAATCCAGAGATACTCAAGTGTAAGAGAGAGCCTTATATCCAAGAGCAATGGAATGTTTTGGAAAACATCCCAGCTCAGTCCAGATCAAGTCCATAATTCTGATATTAGCCTATATGTCTGATAGTAGTCCATATATTCCTCTTTAGATTCATACAGCACATGTAATGATGCCAAATGCAGGAATATCAGAGGCCAATGGGTGTAAAGTCTTGTAGATCCAGTGGCAATGGAAGCATCTCCAGGATTCTGGCTGCCATCAGCATGGTTCCATGTGGCTTGTCAACCGAATGGGAAGAGGAGAGAAAGAGGGAGATCCACCCCACCTTTTCTAATGGCAGAATCAAGGGAGGAAGTTCGCAGAAAGACATGCCGACATGTTCCTATGTAGCCCTAGTTGGCACAATAAACCTAACTATCACAGATGTGATCAAATTAGGATCCAGGGTGGTGCAGTGGTTATGTAGTGGGCTGTTTACAAAAAATTCAGCAGTGGGCACTTTGAAACCACCAGCTGCTCCCCGGGAGAAAGACTGGACTTTCTATTCCCATAAGGAGTTACAATCTCAGAAACTCACAGGATAGTTCTAGCCTGCTCTAAGGGGTTGTTAAGCGTTGGCATTGACTGTATTGCAATGAGTCGGTCTGATGAACTTGCCCTAGAAAAATGTATCTACCGTTTCACATCTCCCAAGAGTGTGCCATAACCTTATCCATGATGAATATTATAATCATAATATTTCATTAGTATGATAAGTGAGAAGTAGTTTTCCAATGACTGTGTTAATTTGTACCCTAATTACTTATGAAGCTGAATAGCTTTCTCTGTACTTGCTAAGCATTTTAATTTCTCCTTCTGTGAGAAGGCATTTTAATTTCTCCTTCTTTCCTGTTTCTATCCTCAATCTTTTTAAAAATTTTAAAGTTAGGTTGTCTTTTATTTCTATAGCTTCTTTTTATATTCAGCAATTTAATCTATGGTAAATATAGTGCAATAAACTACATTTTCTCCAGGCTGTTGCTTATTTTTATGTCTAGCTATCTGTATTCATAGAGAAAAATTTATGTTCTATAACTATCAATTTTCTTAGTTAATTTCTTTTTAATTTTTGCATTTTATACCTTGCTTAACAAGGATTTATCTAACCCAAGATATTTAATTATTGTCCTTTTTCTCTAATTAAAAATATTCTACCTGTTAAATCTTATTGGAAATTATTTTTGTGCACAGCATAAAGTAGGGGTAAAATAGTCTTTATTGAGGCGTATATTCACCTATCTATTGTCAGTTTCCTGGTGATGTGTACTGTACTTTTCTTATCATCGGAATTCTATATATAGTTGAGTCAGTTGCTACACTTTTTATTTCTACAATCTGCCTGTTCCTGCAAAAACACCACAATGTTTTCAATTTTATTTTCTAGTTTATTTTATTTTACTGTTTTATGACATTGCATGAGTTCAGGATTTTGATTTACCTTGCTTTAAAAAATTTTTTTCTCCATAGGGTTTTCATTTTAACCTCACAGGCATCTCTCAAAAATTAAATTATGATACATTGATGTTCCCTGTTTTTTTGTGTGTATTGAGGACATTAGTGTATATGTATATAACATGTGTGTGTATATATATATATATGCATATGTTTATAAACTTGCATTAGTTTATGAGATTTTGAATAGAGGGAAAATATAAATGAACAAGAAGTATTTACTCCAGCTGCTGAGATTTTGATTTTCTGTTTTTAGATACGTTCACAACACAAAATATAAATGGCACCGGACCTGAAATATCATTGAGAGCAACAACTGATATTAATTTTCTTCTAAAAAACTGTACGTATTGGAAGGCCCTACCGGCTGTGGGAGAGGGCTTTAAAGCAGTCTTTCGAAGCAGATCTAGATAATATGGGGTAGAAAGGAGGCCCCTTCGTTGTTGGGTGCCATCCAGTCTGCTCCGACCCATAGCAACCCCGCGGACCACAGGACAAAGCACTGTCTGATCTTGTACATCCTCACAATTGTTATATTTGGGTCCAATTGCTGCAGCCATTGTGTCAATCCATGGCTGGGGGGGTTTCTTCTTTTTCACTGACTTGATGAAGCATGATTTCTGTTCTAGGAACTGGTTTCCCTGATTAACGTGTCCACAGTATGGGAGTCTAAGACCATCCTCCCTTCTAAGGAACAGCCTGACTCTACGGCTTCCAAGACAAGTGTATTTGCTCTTTAGGCAGTCCATTGTATTTTTCATATTCTTTAGCAGCATCAGAGTTCAAGCCAATCAATTCTTCTGCAGTCTTCTTTATTCATGACCCAGCTTTCGCAGGCATGTGAGATGGTTGACAATACCATGGCTTGGACCAGGATCTCTTCCAGTGGGTTGGCCAGGTAGCTATCTTCCAAACTTCTTGGCTTAGACCAGGGAATGCTTCCAGTGCTTCAGCGGCACTGGAACTTTTCAGTTGGTATTCTGTCAATTCCTGGAGCCTTGTTTTCCTGCAAATTCCTGCAGGGCAATTGGGACTTTTCCTTAAATATCATAGATTCTTGATCATCTTGAAATGGTGGAATGTCTATCACTTTTTGTTTTTGTGGTTTTGGTACAGTGACTCTGTGTATTCCTTCTATCTTCTTGTGATGTGTCTTGCCTTGTTCAATTATTTGCCCACAGAATCTTTCAATATTCCAATTAAAGGCTTGAATGTTTTTCTCCAATTCTTTCAGCTTTGGATAGACTGAGCAGTTCCTCCTCTTTGGCGTCCTAAGTCTAGGTCTTTTCTTATTTCATTATAATACTCTACATGGTCTTCTTGAGCTGCTCTTTGAAACTTTATATTAGGCTCTTTTAAAAAACTTTATTTTTTAATCATTTTATTGGGAGGGCTCTTACAAATCTTATAACAACCTATCATGGTATTATGCATACTTGTATGTCTGTTGCCATCAACATTTCCAAAACAATTTCTTTCTATTTGAGCCCTTAGTGTCAGCTCCTCTTTTTCCCCCTCCTTATCCCACCCTCCCACTCTTGTGAAACCTTGGTCAATTATATATTATTATTGTTCTTTTGTAATTTACACTGCCCAATGTCTCCCTTCCCCCACCTTTCTGTTGTTCGTCCCCCTGGGAGTGGGGGTGGGCTATATAATCCAACCTCGTGATGGGTATATTCGGCTCTTTTAGTGCATGGTTTTCCCATGTGCTTTCCAAAACACAAACAAACTCATTGACATCATGTCAATTCTGATTCATAATGACCCTCTAAGTCAGAGTAGAACTGCCTCTGTGGATTTTGGAGACCACAACTTTATGGGAATAGAAAGCCTCATCTTTCTCCTGTGGAGCAGTGGGTGGTTTCAAACTGCTGATCTTGTGGTTAGCGGCCCAACTAGTAACCCCTCCATCACCAGGGCTCCTCTTCCATGTGTGTTAACTACTCTGAATTCAAGAGCAAATTTCAGAGTTTCTTCTGACATCCACGTTGGTCTTTTTAATGACCTTCTGCTTTCTTCATGTGTGAGGATTCCGTCCCTATCCTCCCCCTCAATTCTCCTTGCTTTGTTATTTTCCTCTCTTTTCTACATTTGAAAGGAAATGCCAGCCATTGGCACATATCATCCTATAGCTCGTCAGGTCTTCTTTTATTAGAGTTAATTAAGTTACATCTGTTCTTGAGCTATTACCTAGATTTGGTACTCAGGGTGTATTTTGGCTCTCGTGCACTTGTTTTACTTTCCCTCAGCTTCAATCTGAATTTGCAAATGAGCAATTGATGATGTTTCACAGTTGGCCCGGGCCCTGTGTTGGCTTAGGAGATTGAGTTTCTCCACAGTCTCTTCCCACAGATATAAGCAATTTGATTCCTGTGTGTTTCATCTGGTGAAATCCACATGTATAGTTGTCATGTGTGCGGTTGAAAAGGGTGTTTGCAGTGAAGAAGTTGTTGTTGACTGGTGCTGTGTAGAGTCAAACCCAGCTCTGATCGATCCAATGTACAGCAGAACGGAACCCCACCCCGTCCTGTGCCGTCCTCCCCATTGTTAGGGCTGGTCAGATGATTCTTCGATATAGGATTGTTAGCGAGGCAAAAAAGGGAAGGAAATGATTGTATTTCAGGAATATGATATTATCCTACCACAGAAAGCTTCATATTTCAAAATAGATCTTGAATTGTTTTTTTGTTATTTTTGGGTAGCCAACACAATGTCATTCCTCTTGAATTTGTCATTCCCAGTATAAGAAACCAGATGGCTCTCTCGCTCAGAATGGTCGATGCCAGTCTATTTCGTCTCACTGACACCTAGGATATCAGCCTGTGTGTTCCATTTCGTTTTGGACAATTTCTGATTTTCCTAGATTCGTACTTCGTACATTCCATGTTCTGATTATTAATGAATGTTTCTGATCACTTTGAGTTGCGTCCCATTAGCTAATGAAGATACCAAAAGTTTTACTCCATCCATGTCACAAAGGAGACTCGATTCTGAGGGAAAGAGCTCTTCCCCTGTGGTACTTTGTCTGTCTGTCTGTCTGTCTGTCTTTCTGTCTGTCTGTCTGTCGTCTGAGGGCTTCTCCTCTGGCTCTCCATCTGACAGGATCCTGCTTCTAGTCATACGGTTTTCAGTGGCTCATCCCTCAGAAGTGGACAGTCTGTTCCTTCTTGTGACTCTATTCTTAGGGCTCTAGAAGCCCCACTAACGCCTGTCAACCAGGGGTGACACTGCTGGTATGGAAAAATTGTTTAGCTCTTCACACCCACGTATTTACTCCTTTCTGCCTTTTACCTTCACGGCAAATATTCTTAATTCCTTTGCCCATCCTTTCAACAAGCATAACTAAGAGATAAAAACTTTTGTACATACAACTTTTTAGTCCTTTAAAATTCTCCAAAGTACATATATATGAACACAACAACTCATAGTTTAAGAAACACTCAAAGAAGAAAAGGAAAATAAAGAGAATGAAAGTAAGTAGACCAGGAGGAGTTTCGGCCTATGGAAATTCAATATTGGGGAAAAAGCCAAAGCCGGCAATACCTAATTATTCATAAAGCTATTGGCCACAATGCAATATTTTGAGTGATTTCAAATATTGGAATTTAAAAGAGGCAGAAATACTATAGATTAGATTAGGTAAGATAAACCTCCCATGGAAATCTTTTCTGGTACATAGTAGACAACATCTTGAGTTGTTTTGGAAAACATAGAAAGCTAGCTCTTCAGTGGATCAAGTAACATGGATTTTCAAAGCCAATAAGTTATTGAAGGCCATCGAACACTGACTTTGTGCCCCAAATGCAGGACCCTAGAGGATCAGCAAAGCACACTTGGATGGCATAAAAGACAGATCTCTAAAATTACTATTCTTACCGATTGCATAATTGTAGGACCTGAAACTTCAAAGATGGGGTGAGCTGAGGTGATGCCAGTATTCCCTTCGAAGTTGAGTGCACAGCTGAGGGATCTGTTCAGATCCTGTCCAAATCAGGATCAGAGCCAGTAACATACGGCCTTTCCCATCCTTTCCCGACAGCAAGATACTTGGAGTGATGCTGGCTGTCGGCTCAGTCTAAATTCATCGTGCCCCTCCTATGACAGAGTGGCCAGTACTCCACACACAACTTTATTGACTTCTGTATGAAGCACAGTGGATTGAAATGGCAAACAACATGAGGGTAACAACAACAACAACAAAGAGGCTCTCCAGTCACAGTTGTTCCCAATCATTACTCTCAGTGGCATACTTAAAGACCCACTGTAGCCTGCGCTACAGACGACACGAGTCTTGATGTGCAGCCCCCAAGTTTTATATTGCATACTCTGTTTTGAGTGGTTAATTTGTACATGCCCCCTATTTACACAGACACGCATGCCGTTTCTCTCTTTCGTGTCTTTACACTGATCAGCCACCCCACTGCCCTGCGCGGACTGTCTCGTTATGCAGAGAGTCACCTGAGGACGTCATCTCTCATCTATCAGCCATTCCTAAGTTCCGCAAACAGGCAGCTTGTTCCACCCTGCTTCCTGCTTTTCCTCTTTCGTAAATTCTCCGTCACAGTAATCACACCTCAGGCAAGACATTATCACAAAAGCTTTATTCTTAGACGCTTTCCTCTCCCCTCCTTTATGCCGTCTCAAGAAAATTTCACTCTTTGCTTTTATTTCTCTTTTCTCTTTTTCTTTGTCCCATTGCTAGCTTTGAAAAGATGTTTAATCCTAGAAGCTTATCCAGTACTTTATTATTCTGATAGCACAATATTATCTATTTCTTCTAGCTCTAACCAGCACCGAAACATCTACTACAAAATCCACTGAAGGCGTCACTGAAAATCCCCCTGGAGACTCCACCGCTGAAGAAGGCCACGTCGAGGGTCATGACAATAATTTAAGAAGTATTAAAACTACTACTACACTGTATTCCTACCTGGGGTATATCGTGATGTGACTTAAAAAATCTGTCTCACTACCATGAGCACTTCATAAAGTAATGGCAGGCTTCGAAGGTGTTGCCACTGAAAAACATTCTAAAATCTTTTAAACAGTGACTAAGAGTCCATTTTCAGATTTCCCTGGCAAGAAATAGAAAGTGATCATTTCCAAAAGTATAATTACAGTTTAATAAAATTAACTGCATTTATATTTATAGTGCGTATTTACAAATTAACATGAATGTATAAATATAGAATGTAGTGGTGGACACCGCATTTGAATATATTCATATTAAATGTTCATATATTTATTTCATAGAATTGATTGTATTATCATGTAAAATTTTCTAACTGCTTGAGGAAAAGAACTTATTTCTACTTAGAGTCAGTTATCAGTGTTTTGTAAGGTTATTTGGGAGGGTGGTTAAAAGGGAGGAGATTGCAAAATAAAAACCACTGTTGCTGCCAGGGATGCAAAAGTATTTGTGAAACCTGTTGAGTGAGTGCTCTACTTAAAGACGATAGATACCTGCAGGTCAGTCCAGAGAATCATCTTTTCTCTGCCATCAAGGCATGGTTTCCACATGACTGCTGTGAATTAGCTTACAGCTTCAGTACTGCTAGAAATTAAAACCATATCCACCAAATGAGGTACATTTAAAAATGGAAACTTGATCATTCTGGGAGTCCTTTGCTTGAGTAGTTTCATTAACTTACTACTAGAATTTAGTTCATTTTCACACTTTTTAAAAAAAATCATTTTATTGGGGGCTCGTACAACTCTTATCACAATCCATCCATCCATCCATTGTGTCAAGCATTTTTAAAAATTATTTTATTAGGGGCTCATACAGCTCTTATCACAATCCATACATACATCAATTGTGTAAAGCACATCTGTACATTCATTGCCCCCATCATTCTCAAAACATTTGCTCTCCACTTAAGCCCCTGG